ACACACGCACAAAACAAGAGACACCCTACATCTAAAAAGCCGGGGAGCACTTGAAGTGATCATCACGCCAGGCTGCTTAGTCTTTAAAATCTTCAAGGTTTGGAGGAGCAGGCAATGTTTTCTCCCCTACTGGAAAGACTACAGCAGTCAGAATGCCCACCAATATACCAGTGAGACAAAGAAAGCTATCAAGCATTCTGCCACGGTAGCTTAGGTTTACTGCTATGCCCATTTTAATATAAAGGACATCATCATCATCATCATCATCATCATCATAACAGTTTGCTGGGGGGTTTTTTACTATAAAAAGGATGGAACCGGCCTCAAAGCCTAGGGAGAGATTGTTCCCAGCACAAACACTCTCCCTGTGGTGGATGAAGGCAGTAAGGCTTCAGCTGCAATCCCATGCATATTTATCCAAAACTAAGCTCACTGACTAAGGGGCTGCGGTGGCTCAAGTGGTTAAGACGCTGAACTGCAGGCTGTGGAAGGTCAGTAGTTCAGCAGTTCAAGACCCGGGTGCCGCATGACGGAGTGAGCTCCCGTCTCTAGTTCCAGCTCCTGCCAACCTAGCAGTTCGAAAGCAAGAAATTGCAAGTAGATAAATGGGTACCACTTCGGTGGGAAGGGAACAGCGTTCCGTGCGCCTTGGTGTTTAGTCATGCCGGCCACATGACCACGGAAACGTCTTCGGACAGCGCTGGCTCTTCGGCTTTGAAACGGAGATGAACACCGCAACCCTAGAGTCGGACTCGACTGGCTTTCGAGCAAGGGAACCTTTACCTTTAAGCTCACTGAACATAGTGGGACTTATTCCAACTAGACATGCATAGGACTGTGCTACATACCTTGAATGCTGGCTCCTTATGTGGAGTCTGCAATGCTTACCCAGACATATACATGTATGTTTCAAACCCACTATCCACATCCTTTCTGTAGTGGACAAATCACATGAGCAAAAGATACACACATAGGGATGTTTATACCCTATCATGATACAACTGTGTTAAGGTTGCACAAAACACTCAAAATGTGCCATGTAGATGTGCCATGTAAAGTCTGCATGGCACACCTTATGTTAACCAGTCCCTTAGGACACACTTGGGATGCACATTCAAAGTGCCAAGGATATGAAACCAAAGCTTCCATCTCATGTAGCTATAACAAAACTTTAGAGCACTACATGTTGTGCAAACACCAGAAAGGATACAAGTCACAGGTCTCGGGTAATGGGCAACCAGATATAATCCTCGTAATGTTGAGACAATCCAAGCACAGTAAGTCATTCAGCCACTTTTCAACAGGATCTCCTGGGGCATACCGAATGGATTCCTGGAGAGAAACTTCATGCAGTGTACGGACTGTAAAGAAACATGAAGCACAAGAGGTCACAAGGGAAATATCTCAGATCAACGGGGATTTTAGGTTTCTTGTTGGGTGTGTGTGCGTCAATCATCTCTCCTTTTCTCATCTCCATTCCCGGTAGATGAGGTCAAAGGACTGCCCACTCTGCACAGACAGCCACAAATGGGAAGTGATTTCATATAAAACTTCCATGAAATATGTTGAAATACACAAACACTGAAAGATCTGAGTTGGGGGGAGTGGAGGGTGTGTGCAAGGTACACTCTTTATCCAGTGACGGTCTGATTCAGCATGTGCTTGCTCTTTCCCATGAAAGCTCACAGGGTAAGTTCCCAACGCTTCAGTGCTGAGCTCACTATGCCAGCTTTGGAGAGGTTTTTTAAACTGCAACTTTGTTGGGATTTTTGGTCTCTTATTTTTAACATAACACAAACATGACATCCAATAGGAAAGTCAAACTGAAAGAACTAAAACTGTAAAAGAAAAAAAATACACACATGCAAAACATTGATCTAAAACTTTAAGAGAACTAAATTGTTCCTTTGTGTTACAACCATCTAGTGCTTGCATCGATTTTGTAGAAATGCCTTTATCCTTCAGGACAGTAAAGACACATGAAAATTCCCACTGTATCAGAGCAAACGTCCAGGTAGCCCAGCATCCTGTTTCTAGCACTGACCAACCAGCTGCCTCCAGGAAGCTACAGAAGTGGTCAGAATTCTGATGAGTTTGTGAGCTCCGTATGAAAATGCTTATTCTTGACTCAGATGAAGATTGGAAACATGATTTAACTTGGGAAACACGTTAGTCTGCTGGAAAGCTACATAGTCTACTGGAATATTTGTCTATGCTTGCTGGTGAATTGTTATTTGTGGAACACAGAAGTTTTAGGTGGCCTTGATGCCACTATTTTTTCAGAAGATTTACCTGTTGCATTGAGCAAGTCACTGTTTTTCAGAAGACTTACTTGTTGAATTGAGTAACCTTTATGATTTGGATTTAGCTTTATAATTGATCAGTTCTCTGACATGGTGTTGCACATGTTTAAAGTGCACTTTGGAAGTTTTCATTCTAGTATGAGATTCTTGAAGTTTATATAAATCTATTCACATATGAATCCGTAATAGTCTTTATTTGATTCTCACTGTTTATAAGTGAATCTTCACAGTGGTTTTTTTGTGTTTTTCCCCAGGAAGCTACAAGCAGGGCATGAAGATATCCTCCTGTGGTGCTGCTCTATCAGCAACTGCTGTTCAGAGGTTCACTGCCTCCAAACACAGGACAGATTTCCTTTGGCCATCATTTCATGTGGCTGTTGGCTGAAAGTGGAGAGACAAACCTTATCCTCCCTGTCTCATAATACTACACCACTTGGAGGGTGCAGAACGGCAAATACAGCACAGTCAAAGGCAAGCAGCACTTCACACAATGCACAATTAACTAACGGACTTTATTGCCTTAAAGTCTAGCGAAGGCCACTAAGCTTATATGGCTTTTTTTAAAGGCCAGGCGAATTCCTGGATCAGTCAATCTATGGCTTAGCAGTGACAGCCAAATGAAATCTGTATGATGCCCTTTGATTTCCTGTGGGAATTTCTTGGAAAGCTGACTCAATAAGGACAACTTGCATGCCAAAAGATCACCTATCAACAGGCACATTCATATGAAACTATTAGTCCCCTGTACTTACAGGGAATGGCCGGGCAAAGATTTCTTCTGTACAAATCTGGAAAAAAAACTATGCAAGCAGCAGATCGGCAACACAGAGCTCATGTTATACAGCCCTGGGAAAAATACCTGCGGAGAGTTTAGCGGTGGTGGTTGTTTTGTTCTCTGCCGTCACACTGGCTTGGGCTTGCACACTCTGTTGCCGCAACTGCTGAATCAGCTTCAAAGACAAGGAACGGCCAGTGTGTTTGCTGGTGAATTGTTATTTGTGGAACACAGACGTTTCAGGTGGCCTTGATGCCACTATTTTTTCAGAAGATTAACCTGTTGCATTGAGCAAGTCACTGTTTTTCAGAAGACTTACTTGTTGAATTGAGTAACCTTTATGATTTGGATTTAGCTTTATAATTGATCTGTTCAGTTCCCTGACATGGTGTTGCACATGCTTAAAGTGCACTTTGGAAGTTTTCATTCTAGTATAAGATTCTTGAAGTTAATCTATTGACATATGAATCCGTAATAGTCTTTATTTGATTCTCACTGTTTATAAGTGAATCTTCACAATGGTTTTTTTGTGTTTCTTCCCAGGAAGCTACAAGCAGGGCATGAAGATTGTTTTTCCCCAGGAAGCTACAAGCAGGGCATGAAGATATCCTCCTGTGGTGCTGCTCTATCAGCAACTGCTGTTCAGAGGTTCACTGCCTCCAAACACAGGACAGATTTCCTTTGGCCATCATTTCATGTGGCTGTTGGCTGAAAGTGGAGAGACAAACCTTATCCTCCCTGTCTCATAATACTACACCACTTGGAGGGTGCAGAACGGCAAATACAGCACAGTCAAAGGCAAGCGGCACTTCACACAATGCACAATTAACTAACGGACTTTATTGCCTTAAAGTCTAGCAAAGGCCACTAAGCTTATATGGCTTTTTTTAAAGGCCAGGCGAATTCATGGATCGGTCAATCTATGGCCTAGCAGTGATAGCCAAATGAAATCTCTATGATGCCCTTTGATTTCCTGTGGGAATTTTTTGGGAAGCTGACTCAATAAGGACAACTTGCATGCCAAAAGATCACCTATCAACAGGCACGTTCATGTGAAACTATTAGTCCCCTGTACTTACAGGGAATAGCTGGGCAAAGATTTCTTCTGTACAAATCTGGAAAAAAAACTATGCAAGCAGCAGATCGGCAACACAGAGCTCATGTTATACAGCCCTGGGAAAAATACCTGCGGAGAGTTTAGCGGTGGTGGTTGTTTTGTTCTCTGCCGTCACACTGGCTTGGGCTTGCACACTCTGTTGCCGCAACTGCTGAATCAGCTTCAAAGACAAGGAACGGCCAGTGCCTTCGTAGCTATTAAAACGACAACATGCACCATCAATTGGAAAGAGAAACAAGTATTCATCCTGTGGTGCTTAACGTACTGCTAGCAGCAGAACTTGGAACCAAGCTTAATGACGGGAAGATTCACATGGTACAGAACTCCTGCCATTGTTCTACATGAGAAGGGGGGGGGGGCATGTTTCATTCTTTTCCCCTAGAAATAACTATCCTGTCGAAAAAGAAGAAGAAGAGGAGATTGGATTTATACCCTGCCCTTCACTACCCAAAGGTGTCTCACAGCAGCTTACAAACTCCTTTCCCTTCCCCTCCCCACAACAGACACCCTGTGAAGTAGGTGGGGCTGAGAGAGCTCTTGACAGAAACTGCTCTTTTTCAAGGACAGCTCTTATCAGAACTACGGCTTGCCCAAGGTCATCCAGCAGGTGCAAGTGGAGGAGTGGGGAATCAAACCCGGTTCTCCCAGATTAGAGTCCACGCACTTACCCACTACACCAAACTGGCCTGGGCCTTTATGTCTGACAGAGGAGGTTATAACTGATGTTATTAGAGAGGCAGTGTGTGTAGTCACACCTATAGACTCCATATGCCGGCAAAGAACACTGCTCACAGCCTCCCAGAACTATGACTTTTGATGCCACCACCACCACTTGACAAGGAGGTGCCAGCACACAGACCTAGAGGGTAATTCATGCCTTCCTGTTCAGTTCTTTCCTGAGATGGTCAGGGCTTGTTCTTCAGTGCAGGACTGTGCAGCTGGGTCAGTGGTATGATCAGTACTTGGAATGACTGGTACTAAAAGTATATATGGATTTGTAGCAGTAGGTTCCAGTCCAGTGGCTTGCAGGTGGATATTTTCTTGAGGCGGGTTAGCCATTAGGTCCTGCAGGGACTTGACGTGGTAGCTGTTGGTTCTGACATAGAATACCCACGTTGAGGTTGATATGAATACTAATCCGGTAAATACTAGAAGTGTGAATGCAGCAATCTAACCCTAGATAAGATGGTCAAGTAACAGTCCAAGTTCATTAGGTTTATTCTGCTCACTGGTGAGAGCAATATGGGTAGTGGGGACAGTGAGGATCCCAGGGGTATGTGTCCCAGCCATAGTTCTGAGGTCTTAGTGCAAGTCTGCATAGAAAACAAAAGCGCACAGGGAGGGTCCCAGATGTCTGGAAGGCAATGTGGACCAGCTCCTTGGAGACCAGCTGATTGCAGGCCCCAACACTGTAGGAGGTGAATCTGCATGTAACCCTCTGGGATGTATCCTCCAGCTTGCCCTCTGGCAATGAACCTACCGCTTCTGGGGATCAGTCCTGGTCCATCAATGGTACTACTGTACTATTAGTGATCCAGCTCCTAAAATCCTAGTGCCTGAACAGAAACCATGAAAAATTATATCTTTACCCACAGGAAGGAATTTCTGGAGAGAGGGAGAATGAAACACACTCCAACAAACAATCATCCATGTGCATTCTCAAACACTATTCTCCCGACAGACAGAACCACCCCCGTCAGAGTGCCAGAGATTTCACAACAATAATTTTCTACGTAATTTCCTCATGCCAGTATAATCCAAATATCTCAAAGCCCAGACCGTCAAGGCGTACTGCTCTTCATCTAGCAAGAGTCATAGTAGTCTTCACAACAGCGCTGAGACAGGCCCTGTGTGTATCTAGCTTAAATCAAACCTTTCGCTTAATCAGGTCACTGCCCCACCTAGCTCCATACTCTGACTGGTAACAGCTCTCCAGAATCTTAGCAGGGAATGGTTTGCTTCCTAAGACCCCTTCAAAGGAGATGCCAGGGACTGAACTGTGGCCTTTAGCACAAAAAGGATATGCCCTACCACCGACCCATGTCCCCTAACCAGGCAGAATACCTACCCATTGATGGTAGAAGCCATAAATACAAGGTAAGGGCCAAGCAGTTTTTTCACCAGGGGCAGGGGAATAGCAGCAGCTTCATCAATCACCACAAGTTCAGCCTGACCCAGTTTCACAGCATCAGCAGGATGTATATACTTGTCAGAAAAGAAGGGGAGAAATGATATGTAAAATGATAGTTCTGCTAGAAGCAAAATCAAAGGGAGCCAAGGGGGGCAATCCATGCACTTTTCTCCTTATATCTGGTTCTGTCTGAAGTAAAGCTAAGGTACCCTGTTTCCCCGAAAATAAGACCTACCCAAAAAATAAGCCCTAGTAGGATTTCTATGCATTTATGGTATAAGCCCTAGTGTGTCTTCTTGAGAAAATATAAATATAAGACAGTGTCTTATTTTTGGGGAAACACGGTAGATAAGCAATTCTTCAAATCCTGTATGCTGTTTCAGTGACCAAGATTTAGATGGTAATTGTGGCTACAGAAGAAAATACAGTTGCAAATCATGAACACATTGATTTGAAACAGTTACACAAACAGCTTAGCACTTACTGCGACAAAGTTGGCATATAAGGAACTTGCCTATTGGGCAGATGACAACTTTCACAATATTGATTTATGTTGACTCTGAAGCTACTGTTGTCTCGCCGATTGGGGGAAAGTGGGATATAAATATTCATTTTAAAAATGTAAATAACTGAAGCACAATGGCTCAGAGAATGAGTGGCAGACCCCCAGTTCACTTCCCTGTGACACAAACTGACCAAGCGGTCTTCGGCAAGTGTACATTAGAGTAGCCACTTTCAGCTCCAATCACTTCATGTTCAACAGTGCCATTGTAAAAAAAAAAGTACTGTCATAATGGCTATGAAGCACTTCAGGCATTCTGAAACACTACATATTATTGCCAATAACCAGTAATAATCACTGCGCACTGTTAAAGTATTGGGGAATTGGTGAACTTTGTTTTGGGCTTCTAGATCGTGACCTTTCATCTGGTTTACCCTATAAAAGAAGAACTTTGAATCTTGCTCAGTAGGCCAGCTTGATTTTTTCTTGCTTGCAGCAGGATGATCATCTTATTAAAACTGAATGCTCTGGTAGCCTAAAGCCTTGAGGGAATCTTTTCCTTTCCCGGACTGAACTTGGCAAAGGGTATGCGTGTTATATTAGGATTTTGAAAACTCCCCTAACACACACCTTTGTTTATCACACACTGCCAGTCGAATCTGACTCTAGGGTTGCGGTGCTCATCTCCGTTTCAAAGCCGAAGAGCCAGCGCTGTCCGAAGACGTTTCCGTGGTCATGTGGCCGGCATGACTAAACACCAAGGCGCACGGAACGCTGTTACCTTCCCACCGAAGTGGTACCCATTTATCTACTTGCAATTGCTTGCTTTCGAACTGCTAGGTTGGCAGGAGCTGGAACTAGAGACGGGAGCTCACTCTGTAGAGATAGGGCCAATTTAATTCCTTAGATCTACACTAGAATTTTTTTTTTGCCATATCTGAAAAACAATACATACACTACATACGGTTGGCAAATTGTCCTACTTTTTAAAAAAAGGATCACAGAAGCGGACAATATCCTATATAATTTTTACTTTCCATTTTATCCAAATTTTTACTCACCATTTTATCCTAACAATCCTATGGTGTAGCTTAGGCAAGAAGAATGTGAGTAGACCAAGGTAACCTGCTAAGCTTTATGACAGTGGGGATCTGAACCCATATCTTGCAATTGCTTGCGTTCGAACTGCTAGGTTGGCAGGAGCTGGAACTAGAGACGGGAGCTCACTCTGTAGAGATAGGGCCAATTTAATTCCTTAGATCTACACTAGAATTTTTTTTTGCCATATCTGAAAAACAGTACATACACTACATGCGGTTGGCAAATTGTCCTACTTTTTAAACAAGGATCACAGAAGCGGACAATACCCTATATAATTTTTACTTTCCATTTTATCCTAATTTTTACTCACCATTTTATCCTAACAATCCTATGGTGTAGCTTAGGCAAGAAGAATGTGAGTAGCCCAAGGTCACCTGCTAAGCTTTATGACAGTGGGGATCTGAACCCATATTTTCCCAGCCCTACTACACTTCCAAGCATTTCCCCACATCGGCTCTCCAAAACCTATGGCTATGAAAAATGACTAAAGAGGTTTGCTTTAACAAATAAAATCCGACTGTGCAGACGCAATACTGTCTGGCCTTTGCAAAGTAGTTGTTTATTTTATTTATTTTTTAGATTTTTATTCCACCCTCCCCAAAGTGAGCTCAGGGAGGATCACAAGAGTTGAGTCCAATAAAATCCCATTAAAAATAGTTAAAACACTAACAATAAAAATTCATATAGGTAGCAGGATTCCATATCTCTCAGAGCCACAGGTGGAATCAGTTGGCCCTTTCAGCAGATCGGGAGCCAGACTGAGAGCAGAGCAGCCAACTGTGATGGACGCCCTCAGCCGAAGGCCTGGTGGAACAGCTCCGTTTTGTAGGCCCTGCAGAACGATAAAAGGTCCTGGAGGACCCTGATCTCCAGTGGGAGCTGATTCCACCAGGCCAGAGCCAGGGTGGAAAAAGCCCTGGTCAAGGCTAAGCGGATGTCCCTTGGGCCAGGGGTAACCAGCAGATGTTGATCCTGTGAGCACAAGGCTCTTCGGGGCACATACGGGAAGAGGTGGTCCTTCAGATATGTCGGTCACAGGCCGCGCAAGGCTTTGAAGGTTAATACAAACACCTTGAAACAGATCTGGTACTCATTTGGTAGCCAGTGCAAGTGGCACAATACTAGCCAAATGCATGCCTGCACAGGCGATGCTGTCATTAGGCACGCTGCCGCATTCTGGACTACTTGGAGTTTCCGGATCAGTCTCAAGGGGAAGCCCGCGTAAAGTGAGTTACAGTGATCAAGCCTGGAAGTGACCATTGCATGGGTCACTGTCGCCAAGTCCTAGGGGAAAGGTAGGGGGCCAATTGTCTGATCTGGAGGAGATAGAAAAAGGCAGACCTGGCAACTGCAGTGACCTGGGCCTCCATAGAACGTGAGGCATCCAGGATCACCCCTAGCCTCCTCACCATCTGAGCTGCTGCAAGTGACACACCATCCAGGGTGGGCAGCCCGATACCCGTCCCAACTCCCCTCTGCCTTCCTTGGACTGAGTTTCAACTGGCTCTGCTGCAACCAACCAGCCACGGCCTCCAATGCCCCTGTCAGAATCTCTGGGGCTGAGTCCTGGCAGCCATCCAATAACAAGAGTTGGGTGTCATCTGCATAGTCATCTGCACCCCAACCCAAACCCCCGAACCAACGGAGCAAGAGGGCACATGCAGATATTAAACAACACTAGCGAGAGGATTGCCCCGTGGCACATCACACTCAAGTGGATGCCGCAGGAAGACCCTCTCATCAAGTGCCACCCTCTGTCCCCGACTGTGGAGAAAGGAGGAAAACCACTGAAGGGCAGTCCCACGAACCCCAATGTCGGCGAGGTGGTGGGTCATAAGATCATAGTCAACTATGTTGAATGCCACCTCCTGCACCCAGGTCTCAGTCACACAATCCAGGTCTATATTTTGCTCTGCGAGATTATAGACCTGGCATTGAACAATACCAGTACATTTTGCTCTGCGAGATATTCTTGCAGAACAGAGTTCTTATTTATAGACCTGGCATTGAACAATACCAGTAATGGAGACGGGTAATCATTCCTAGCCCCACAACTGACATTTCTTAGGCTGAGACGTAGGAGGGAAGAGGTCCAAGCAGTACCGTATCGCCAATCTCTTCCATTCTGTTTAATGGAATATCTCCTAGTCCCACTGCTATATCTTCCCTGCCCCTCGATCACTGGTATCCCCAACCCCTGCATGGCCTCCCTGCTAGATGTTATCGGCTCCCAATTGACCGAGCGAGCATCTAGCAGAGGACCCAAGTACAAAGGCTACCTGAACCCAACTAACTACTTTTTAAAAACTAGCCCCAACCCAACCCTACCCTCCTTGACTCACTAACTCAACACCCCCATAAATAGCTATTGTGCACGAATTCCAGAAATCCCAATGCATTTACAGGATAAAGAAAAAATGTATGAAAGATTATTTACCTGGATAGTCTGTCTATGTTCTCGGAATACATTCACCCTGACGACTGCTTTGTTAAATTCTGGATTGAGAGACTGAATTATCTCATAATCCAAGTGCTCCTTGAAAACAAAAGCAAACAAGAATATTTGAGAACCAAATAAAAACTACATAACACACTAATAAAAGGGGAAAAGGTGCTTGAAAGTGGCTATTTTTAAGCTTTAACCGGCTTGGCAAATTGCTCCCAGAGTACAACATGGTACACCAGAATAGCTTCTGCCTATCAAAACAACATCTTTTTTTGGTGACGTATATGGCACATTCCAAAAATTATTTGAAAAAACTATGTAAAATGTTCTCCATTTTAAAAGATACAGATAAAATTGTACCAGGCACAGGCATGGGAGTGTGTACATGCAGTTGCACCATATATACATCACATCAAGCTCTGGAGGTAATGCTTCTCCAGCTACATGTTTCCTGTACACGCTACACAATGTGCTTTGTATGTATGAAAATTCTGAATGATCTAGTTCTTACGATGACAGTGGTACCCTAATCAGAGTTACACCCTTCTTAATCCATTGAAATCCATGGGTTTAGGAGGGTGTAATACTGCTTAAGATTGCAATGTTAATAGTTCATCAACTGACCACTGGTGTTGCCATCTATTGGATGACTAGTTGCAAAACCAACAACAGTTCAGGCAAAGAATTCAAAATGACATTCCAAGCAAATAATTCTCTGAATTCACTAACTGAGAAAACAGAACTTTTATCTTCTTTAAATAGACACATGATCTCATTTGCAGACAGATTTACCATTAACTTCATTTTGGTCTCTCACACAGCCAAGAAACCCAATTTACTTCTATTAAGAGCTTAGAACCCAAGGCTGCAGCAGGCTTAAATGCAGCATGAATGACGGTAACAGAATTAAAACTTCATCATTCAAAAAGACCAATAAAAAAGGTAACACAATAAGTGCTTTAAATTACCCAAAGCATCAAAGGACTGCAAGATGGCTGACTCAACAGTGAATTCTCTGTTCAGTTACCTAATCAGAGAACTGGTGCAGTACAGATTACATGTAAACTAGGAACCTTTGGCTGAAAATTGTCACGTCGTACAGGAACTAACCTGGTGACTAGTCAAAGGCTAAGATCTGAAGGAACCTGATGCAGCAGCCTTGCTGGTGCTAAAGGGGTCTGCATCTGGACAGCAGAGGGGGAGACTTTCTGGAACCCCTGCATACACCTCCTTGACCTCCATTATGGAAGGGAGGATATAAATGTAACCAGGGAATAAATACTGATGGTGGTTCAAAGTGACTATGATCAACAACTACACATTTTACTGCATCAGTCATACAAAATAATGGGAGCTGCATGGTAGAACATCTGGTTTGCATGCAGAAGGCTCCAAACTCAATTCTCTGAATCTTTAAAAGGTTCAGGCAATAGGCAATGGGGAAAGACCTCAACCAAGATCTCAAAAGAGCTGCTGCCAGTTAGGGTGAACACTACTACTCTTGACAGATTATCAGTAATCAGACTCAGTTTAAGGAGTTTCCTGGTCTTCTGAAAGGAAATCTCTACAAAGGTGCTCTGCATGTTCATCTTACCTGATACTGTAGTGCGTCAAAGCCTTTAAATACAAACTCAAACAAGGTGTGAAGGTTATCTGGGCTGGGAGACGTGACAAAGACGTTGGAATAGCTACACAGAAAAAAGGGGGATGGGAAAGAAGTGTTATAGTTTTGGAGTGGTAGCTGTATAAGTCATTGCAGAAAAACACAAGAAGGAGTCTTATGGTACAACTTAAAATACTAACAAATCTGTTAAGACATCCCCTTCCCCCATGCCAATGTTTATATATTAATCAGTCAAGGATATGCTTCAGGCCCCTGATCAATGTGCACTAGTCCACAAAAATACATGCCAAAATAAATCTCTTACAGTACAATCCTAAAGGGGGGGTGGGGGTTACACTGGCACATCTCTGAGACACGTCAGTGTAAGGGCAGTTATGCCACCGCAGGACCCCAGTGCTGCTCCACTGCACCTGGGTGCTGATACAACTCCACACCAGTGACCCAGTAGCACAACTGAGGCATAGGTCCCTGTGCTGGCATGGCTGTGGGCAGTTCTGGGGCATGGCTAGGGTTTTCAGCTCCCTAAGGCCTTTCAGCCTGAGAAGGCTCCCTGTCAGAGGCAGAAAGTTACGCCAACAAGAAACCCCCCAACACAGTGTAGCCGCGCAGGACCCCAGTGTTGCTCCACTGCACCTGGGTGCTGATACAGCTCCACACCAGTGGCCCAGCAGCGCAACTGAGGCATAGGCCCCTGTGCTGGCATGGCTGTGGGCGGTTCTGGGGCATGGCTAGGGTTTTCAGCTCCCTAAGGCCTTTCAGCCTGAGAAGGCTCCCTGTCAGAGGCAGAAAGCTACGCCAACAAGAAAGACCCCAACACAGTGTAGCCCATAGGCACCAAGTCCTCCCCCCCCTCCGCTATGGCCATGCCCATGAGGCCCGAAGCTGTTCAGAATGCTGACTCATGAACACTCCCCCCCCCCCCTGTAGTGGTCGAGCCCCCCTCCCCCCCCGCAGCCAATTGCTGCCTCCTCCAGCCCTTCAGAAGCCCCAGTCAGAACAGCCGACAACTCAATCGGTCGGGTGCACAGCACAAGACTCTGCCTCAGAGCTCCCTGTCATATGGACTTAGAGTAAGCAGCAAGGAACTTTGGTGGCAGGAAAAGAACAGAAAGGGCACTTAGTGCCCCTGGACGAGAACTGTAGGTGGGGCTCACGTCTGAATGAGTTCTTCTCAAACATATTTAGAATTTGGGATATTACAACTCTCTAAAATGCTTTCTGCCCTGACCTGGCTATCCCAATCTCATCAGATCTCAGAATCTAAGCAGGGTCACCCCTGGTTAGTACTTGGATTGGACACCACCAAGGAAGTCTAGGGTTGCTGACACAGAGATAGGCAAGGGCAAACCTCCTCTGAATAAGGCTGCCGGGTCCGAATGCCACACCTGTGGGGGGCTGGGAGGGAACTTTCCGAGAGCAGGGTGGAGTGATGCGACGCGCTGACGTCACACAGACGTGACATCAGCATGTCAGGGATGTTGTTCCCAGGGCTACAGAGAGAGAAAGGAAGAGAGGACCGGTTGGGGTTCTCTTTTCTGACACTTGCTTACCTTCTCCAGCAACTGAGCTCCGCAGCCAGCGACACTTGCCCTCCTTCGGCCTCGCCGCCCAGCTGCCTTCGGTCCCCTGCCAGAGCAAAGGGCGGCCAAGCAGAGCAGCTTGGGTTTCGCTTTTGCCCATTTTCACTTTTTGCAGCAGCCAGGAAAGGCTCCAGTGGCACTGGGAAGGGCAGCCCAGCCTGCCTCCCCCCCACACACCTGTGGCACAGGGGCACAGCCACCGCAAGCCGAGCGAGTCAGCATCCACCCTGGAGGAGGCTGACCAGGAGGCAGGACTGCTGGCATGCCCCATGAACCGAAGGCCTGCTTGCCTAGGAGCAAAGAGTTCCATTCTGCTTCCAAGCAAGCCTTCAGGTAGTTGCAATCCGCCCAACTTCCGCATGATATCAGCATGTCATGTTTGGGGGTGGGATTTCTTCCCACAAACCAGCTGGCTGGCAGTGGGCAGGAGCCAAAAAAATTGGGGGATCCTGCACCCCCAACAGGGGAATGGCACCTCTACCTCTGAATGTCTCTTGCCATGAAAACCTTACAGGGTTGCCATAAGTCAGCTGCAACTTGAATGGCAAAAAAAAAAAAAAATGCTTCTAGGATTGCCCTTCTAGTCAAAAAGCCTTAAACCGTAAGTCTCTAACAGTCACTAAGAGTGACAGGAAAAAATGAAATCATACTACCAGCACACTTTAGCTACTGAAGCAAACACATGCTTATCTAACCAGAAACTTACCCAAAAGCCACTGCTCCAGCTATAGCCAATCCTAAGGCTGCAGATTTACCACGCCCCCTGGCAGCTGTTAAAGCCACAGTACTTCTCAGTGTCTTCTCAGAAATGCCTTCAATGAACTTCAAAAGTGCTTTTGCCTAGCAACGGGGAAACAAGTCATCAGAATGGCTGGTTGACTGACAACTATAAAACAGTATGATTCTTTGCTTATTTGCCGATTGTTTAAATGTTTTAACAGTGGTAAATGTTAAGTTTTAAATGTTTTAACTGTATATGAATCTTGGCACATTGTGCCAGGCAATGTGAGCCGCCCTGAGCCCGCTTGCGGGGAGGGCGGGTTATAAATATAATAAATAAATAAATAAATTTAAGGACTTTCTATGTCACTGTTCTATAAAAGTTAAGCTTGAGGCAGCTCACAGAAAAGTACAATGCAGTAATCAAAAATACATTGCAAAATAACTATTAAAACTAAAAAGCAGGAACAAAATTTTTATTCAGTGGTCTTCCATAACAAAAGTTTTCAGTGGACACTGGAAGGCTGCCGTGAGAGGGCCAAACACAACTCTTGGGGGAGGAAGCTCCAGAGTTTAAGGTTTAAAAACATGCAAGTGGGAGACGGAAAGAGAAGCGATATCATTTAAGTTTATCGCTACCGCAGAGGTTCACCACAATGACCTGGGCTCATCTATCCCTTATCCCAGCGTGACTGCAATACTTGCCTGGTCCAGAGTTTTACAGGTCTCAACCAGCACTCCAACAGGTTGCGTGTCCTGAAGACTCTCCTTTAACTCCTTCAGCTCCACATCCTGAGGACTCAGGCTGTCCTCCTATATGTGAGAGTAGAATTGCCCGAATCAAAACAGCTGCTGTCATTAAATTCACAAACAGTGGATACAAACCTAAGGGGAAGTTCTCATGCTCAAGCCCGGTTAAATAAAAAAGGCTTAGATGAATTTGCAATACTCTTCTGTACTGAACATTAAATTACTGTATTTAGAGTCAAAGTCCAAAAGCTTCAGCTTCTATCTAACGCATACTTACCTGAGATCGGGGTGGAACAGGTACTATATTTGCAATGTGGCTAGAGACTGGGAGAATGTTAAGCTGATCATCAACTACCATGCAAGTCTTGCATGAGGCCAGAGACAGAATGAATCTATATAAAAGGAGACAAGAGAGACACCACGAACAGAGAAGTTAAACAAGCAGATATTTCCTACCCTGCAACCTTTCCTTTATCCTATCACCCATCTACATGGGATGCATCTCCCTCTGGACAAAGCAAGCCAAGGCTAAGTGTTCAAACGAGGTGAATTGAATTATGTTAAGTAAGAATCGGGCCCAGGGCCCAAGCTCTATCTCTGGCAAGCATTAGACACTGTGTGGAACATCCCACCTCTTGTATGTTGTGAACAACAAGCTTCCAATACACTTAACTGGAGGATTTAAGCAGAACAATATCAAAAACGTAAAAGAGTAACAAATTACATGTGAATTAACAACTTAATTCTTCAGATTTAGCAATTCGCCTCTACGTCTTCTCAAGTCTGTACATACATAGCTATCCTGCACAACCAGGACATACTGGTTCCAGAACAAGACCTGAACTTCTTAACCAGTAAAAATTCTATAGTCTACCAGGGAACTTCTTAACTGCCAAGGTGAAAAGATTTCAAAAGAGGGCATTACATTGTCAGAAATACATGTTTTCTATCTGATTGGCCTTCCCCACTGTGAGAACATGCAAATCTAGCAAAGTTTGCGCTTTTAAGCTGTTCACCTAGGAGTTAAATTATATGTGATGGAATTTATGTTCGTTTACTTACAGACATATCTATGCACATTTTTAAAACAAATGGAAAACAAGCACACAAGTGAGGGAAGCTAAGCCCTGTCCTTAGCTCTTCCTGAGCTCACTGCAAACCATTGCTTTAAGGTTCCTGTTTCAGCTTGGTTCTCTGCCAGCACAAAAACTAACAGGGGGGGAAAAACCCTCACACAAGGGAGTGCTGAGAGGCATGGGGAGTGCCAGGGCTTAGGTTCCCCCACACTTGCATTCTTAAGTGCTAAAAATTAAGCCCCACCTCCCTTTTATACAGGAATGTGTGGACACATAAGTACAAAATTATAAACATACCTCTCATTAAATCTGCCTACTACATCCTGATGTGCCTCGGTTCGGTATCGAGAATGTACATCCTAGAATACAAATGAAAATGGATGAATGTGACACAGATGACGTGTTAAGCTAATTCAGTACTACGGGTGTGCATTCGGTAAAGCTGAACAGAAAAAACCCCGGAAAATGCCCTTTCAGCATTTTTCAGGTATTCGGTGTACCAAATAAGCTTCCCTGAGCTGATTCAGCTGCCGAATACTGAATGCCGAAATTTTGGGGGGTTTTCGGCTTTAAACATTTGGCCTCTTTTCTGCCCTTTGCTATGCTTTCCAGGAGAGAGGGGGAAGAGGGACCTTACAGACAGCCAATCACTGCAATGCATTAGCAAATGCCATTTCAGCTTGCAAGGCTGTTGTTGCTACTGGCTTCATTTGTTGAAGCCCAACTACTAGCTTGCTGCTTTCCCAGGGGAGAAGCACTGGCCAATAGGATTGGCATACTGCTCTCTGGCCAATCACAGAAGTTTGTTCCTTTTTAAAATCCTTCTGTGTATGCCCAGAGAGCATAAAAGTAGGGGTCTCTAGCTGGCGGACTCCATTCCTGTTCCTGCTGCTGAGAGAGAGCCTGGGTTGGAGATTGTGTTGCTGGCTTCTGCTTCAACCACTGCTCTGAGCCTGTTTTCCTGCTGCTGACTTGGACTACTTCAGATCAAGATCCATCCATCCTGTCTGCTGGACAACAGAAGACTGAAGAGAAGAAGACAGCACTGGTTTGACTTATATTATGGCCACTTTAAAAACAATTTTCTTATTTTGTTGTGGGTTGGTGGGTTTGAGGCCTGGGGTTGATACCGTGGTGGTGAGTACGCCTCTGGGCCCTAGGGCCTCTCAGGCCTCTTCCTGGTTAGGGTTTTTTTTGGGGGGGTTCTTAATAGTTTGTGGTTTTGTTACCAGTCTATTGCAGTTTAAAATATTTTAAATTTTTTTACTGTGATTTATATTTCTAGGATTGTTGGGTTGGGGGGGGGGAGACTGACTAGACCTTCTGGCTGGGGTCTAGGCAGGCTCTCTCAGGCCTCTCTGTCTGGTTGTTTTTGGTTCATCTGAGGGCCTCAGGGGCCTTTTTGGTTTTTGGGGGGAGTCAGGATCACTGCTCTTGTGTGTGCACTTCTGGTTTAGCTGCTGCACCATTGTTAAACAGACTTTTAACAAAAGTTTCAGGCATTTTTAACTAATATTTTAAAATAAATCTCAGCACGGGCTTTAGCTGTTCTACCTTTAACTAGGCCAGTGCTAGGAGGACAAAGAGAGGCCAGGGCCACGTTCAGACTGGCAGTTTGCAGCGCTAGGGAGTCGCATCAAAGAAGACCCAAAACAGACCCGGAACAGCTTGGTCGCGATATTCCTGTTCACACTGCAGCAAATGAAGCGGGAGGATACCGTGGAGGAAGTGCAAGGGAGCGTTCATACTGTTGGCCCGCCCCAGCGGGCTGTTAGCGGCTGGCTCTGCGGTCCACTGCATGCGTTTATGTGCATGGGCGTCTGCCGCAGAAACAGCCAGCACCTATTATCAATGACTGCGGGTTGTTCCCGCCTTACAGTGCTTGCGTTCACACATCAGGGAACCGGAATCAACCCGCTCTCCACACGGTTTGCTACCACTTCCACCAGGTACTTTTAAAACTCGGGAGGGAAGCGGTACAAGATGGCTTGAGTACGGCTGGGGGACGCTGGACAGCTGTACCTGTGTGAACCCACCCCTTTAATCCGCTAGTGAAACGCTCCTGAAATGTTTGGCAGTCAGGCCAAACTGCCAGTCTGAACGTGGCCCAGGTTTGTCTTCAGTTCATAAAACAGAAGTATAAGTAGCACAAAAAAGTAGTGTGCTGTTTGTGCTCTGACTGAACTTTGGTGACACCAAGCCCTTTTTTCAGATAATTTTTCCCCTTTAGCTTGTGTGTTTCAATTAGGGAACACCTGCATTTCCACAGGAAATCAGGCTGGTTCCAGTAGAATCTAGGTAGTGGTAGTCTGATTAAAGACCCTAAAACTTTTTTAAAGGTTTCCAAGCCACATCTCAAGGATAATCTTTAAACCATAGTCAGGGTCAATGTAGGAATTCACCACTAGTTCTAAAAAACAAACCAAGGCTACCTACCTTTTCCCCCTTCCATAGGAAACAATGGAGGATTGGGGGCACCCTCTTTGGAAGCCCCTAGAATTGGACTCCTTGGTCTAATCTTTTCCAAACTTGAGAGTTCTTTTGGTGAGAGGCTCCAGCAGCTACAGTATAAATTTGGTGCCTCTACCTCAAACGCCCTCCCCCCCCAGCCCCCTGAATACTTGTTAGAAGATTTTTGCCATTGACTACAATGTCCCCATAGTGTAGCTGTTTACAGACATGGAGCACTACCAAGCTCTCTCTCAAGCACAGGGGAAAGCATCCCTGTGATGCATACCATGGTCATTGTGTACAGCTGTTTTAGGGAGTTCATTGTTCTCAGAAGAATTGCAACTATGCCACCGCCTTCCACAGTTTCCACGGTTCTAGCCAGCAGGTTTGGTGTCAAGGCTTCAAAGTCCTGGAAAAAATTACAGATGAATTTTGAAAAAAATTTCCTGTGAAGACACCAAATCCACAGAAAGGATTCATCCCCACCTTTTCATACTTCCCTGCACACCCTTGGAAAGCTAGTGGGAGATGTGCAAATAATCAGTTCCTTCCATGGGGAGGGGGAGCAAGAAGAAGTCAGCAGAAGTATCACCCCCACTCTTTCATGAGCAGAGCAAGCTCCCTAACAAAGTAAAGCATCACACCGGGGGGGGGTGTGTGCAGCAAAGGCAACTGCAGAAGGAAGTTCACAGAAGGCTTCAATCCAACCCGCTGCATCTTCAAGTCATGTTACACACATGTTGTTTAAACACCATCAGCATCAGTCTTCGTGCAAGGGTTTGCAAGGGCTTGTATCCAACCACACAGTTCCAAAGACTAGCAGGCCCATGTGAGAGTGGAAGGTCCCTCACTTCAGTCCAGTGAGAGCTGCATCTTGGGGGTTTTATGTATACTACCTTGCAACTGACAAGTATGGCTTTTCTTATGTCATTCTTGTGCAGGTACAATTAAAGTTGGTCAGTCTAAACCTAACCAAATACTAGTCACATGTGATAATTCGCCATACTGTGTGTTGTAGAAGTTTCAAATGATATTTTACAGATTTTTAAAATAATACTGAGTACGTTTACTTCATACACTTTACAAAGTGTTAAGTAATGCTAAGTGTAACACTTAAGTGCAAAGTGTTAAGTAACATTCAAGTAAGTGCTTTTAAATTTACTTTGGTAAAATATTTAAAGACATTATTTACTGGAACAGGCACAGCAGTTTTCACATACCAAGCATAAGGACTACCACGAGGACTCTGACATCTAAAACATCTTCTTACCTGAAGGACACACATGCCGAAAGTATTCCCGAGAATTTTGTGTGTTTCATTGTAGTAACAGTACCGAATGTTTGTGGCTGCTACAAACAACTCAAAGGGGTCATCTTGTTTCAGATCTAAAGTCCCACTTTTAATCTTCTTTTGCAACTGCCTCATCCTTTTTTTACGGTGGCTGGAGGGGGAAAAGGAGATTAAATTAGAAGTCCTCACTGGGGAAAGCAATCAGATTTTAAATGATGTTCTTAAATTAGGAGCAACGCATATTGATCTAGTTTGAACTCTGATGGACTATTATTTGGATCCTCCAACTACTAGATACATGTGCCTTCTTAAAGGGCCAGTGGCAACCCACTTCTAGCAGTTGAAACAAAGACAGGGCCCTGGGTGGATAAGCGCGCCAAGCACTGAAATTACAAGGGGAAAATGTCAGAGTCATTTCAGAGAACAATAAACTAACTACTGATACGATTAAGGTGACTACATGAGAAGTCTAGAGAAGTTAAGACAGAAAGGGTTATGTCTGGCCTACAGACAGACAAAGAGGATGTACAGTGCAATCCTAAACTGAGTTATACCTTCTGAATCCATTGAAGTCAATGGGCTTCAAACATCTGCTTAGAATGGCACTGGATGTCTCCAACATCTGTTCTCAACTTCATGCCAGTAAAATGAAGGAAGTACTTAGCCTGCTATTTTGAATATTTTGCCCTACCCAGAACCCAGTATTTATTTGTTAACAATTAGGAAAAATGTGCTTTACAAATTTTTGGCTCCTATTTAAAAAGAGAGCAACCATTTTACCTGCTGAAGCCCAGCTCTTTCTTATAACACCATAACACCGACGGCCTGGCTTTTACAGCTGCTTTAGACAACATATGATGAAGAATGACCACCTGCCAAATGACCAGAATGAAATCCATTATCTTGTAAGGAAATAATGACAATGCAGCAACATATCAGAAAAGTCATAAGAAAAACATCTATGTTAGAACTTGTGTTTGATCTCTGTAAGTTATGCCCAGGGAAGAGGCAGAACTATTGTGTATAATCATTTGCTGCCCTACAAGACAGAGTCAGGGGGAGGCGGGAATCACGTCCATGGAAGGGGGGAAATTACATCCATGGCAGAGAACTTTGGACATAACTGGATGTTTTTTTAAAGTCCTAAGTAACATGAGATCAACAAGCCCAACTTTTGAAAAACTGCTCAAACAATTAAAGCGATTATTTTGCCCATTCAGTTTTGGCAAGTTCCTTCATTACTTATTCTTATACCAAGTCACTTGATATAAAAGACATACCCAAAAGTTCAACAATCCATTTTCCTAATCACACCAATGAAACATGCACAGAAACAGTTACATAACTGACACTACAAGGTTTATTTGAATGATAAAGCTGCAACATATTTTTTAACTTTATAGTCTGCCTTTCTCACTGAGACTCAAAAAGGATTACAGGATGTTAACAGTGCAATCAAACAGCATAAGACAACCAATGAGTAACCTGACAGGGCTATGATTACAGAATCAGAGAACAAGGCAACAACAAACTATCTAAGGCAAGGTGTACTGTAAACAATACAGAGATTAGATCACAAAATAAAGACAATGCAGTCAAAGCAAGATATACATGGCACCAGTGTTCCCTCTAAGCTGAGTTAGTGTGAGCTAGCTCACAGTTTTTTAGCCTCCGGCTCACACATTTTTGTCTTGGCTCAGGAAGGATGACTCCAGAGCAAACTAATTCATGCAGTAGGCAAATCACTCGCTCACACCTTTAATGCCAGTAGCTCACAAAGTAGAATTTTTGCTCACAAGACTCCACAGCCTAGAGGGAACATTGCATGGCACCTAGACAACAATCCTATTCCACTGTAACTGAACCATTATATTCTACCAACACTTGTAATCTTTTTGAAAAATGCCTTCTTGAACATTACTGTTGTGGACATTTTGCAGAATGACAGAAGAATGGGAGTCTTCCCAACCTCCTCAGGCAGACCATTTCAAAACAAATAAGTACACACACCCAATTAACTTGAAAGGAACATGACTTCCCCAAAATTATAAAAATTATTAACCATAACTTGTATGCGAATGAAAGATGACCTCCTCTTTTTTGGGATGGAGTACCTGAAAAGTAAATGCAGTTATATCTAGAAGAAGAAGACGAGATTGGATTTATACCCCGCCCTTCACTTGGACTCTCAGAGCAGCTTACAAACTCCTTCCCCTCAACAAACACCCTGTGGAGGAGGTGGGAGTGAGAGAGCTCTGAGAGCACTGTCCTTGAGAGAACAGATCTGACAGCACTATGTCTTGCCCAAGGTCATCCAGCAGCTGCAAGTGGAGGAGTGGGGAATCAAACCCAGTTCTGCCAGATTAGAGTCCGGGCACTTAACTACTACACTAAACTGGCTGTATGATTCTGGAGATGGCATCAGCTGAATGGATAGAGCCACTGCCTCTTAAATATTTAACCATAAACTTTTTCCATATAGCACTTTAAGCACTAGTTAACTTTTCTAAATGACACTTTAGAACTCATCCACAGAATTAGGTTTTTTTTTAAAGGATGGAACATGCAGCATCCACTGTAATCAATTACACTTTTACTCTGTTCATCCTTTAAGAAAGCTCAGCATGCATCACAGAGAACTTTCTGCGCTATCCCATCTAGCCATGGATGCTGCCCAAGTGAGTTTCCACAACATTATAGAATCAAGCAGGCTAACCATTCAGTGGACAGTAGAAAAGAGCAAGAGTCCAGTAGCCCCTTAAAGACTAACAAAATATGCAGCAGAGTATGAACTTTCGTGAGTCACTGTGCATTTCTTCAGATACTAAAGAAGTGAGTAGTGACTCACAAAAGCTCATTTGTTGTTGTTCAGTCGCACAGTCGAGTCCGACTCTTCGCGACCCATGGACTAGATCCCGCCAGGTCCTCCTGTCTTCCGCTGTCCTCTGAAGTTTGCTCAGTTTCATGTTCGTTGCATCGATGACACTGTCCAACCATCTCATCCTTTGCCGTCCCCATCTTCTTTGACCTTCAATCTTTCCCAGCATCAGGGTCTTCTCCAGTGAGTGCTCCCTTCTCATTTGGTGGCCAAAGTATTTGAGCTTCATTTTCATTATCTGGCCTTCCAGGGAACAGTCAGGGTTGATTTCTTTTAGGATTGACTGATTTGATCTTCTTCACAGCTACCCAATCTTGATCATTCAGTGGACAATTACAGCAATGCAGTCATTTTTGCTACTAAAATTTCTCCAGATATTTTGCTCTACAATCACATGGAGAAAATACAGAGTGAGCTAACAATATAGAGACAGGATGTTGTCGAAGGCCCATTTTGCAGCTATTTCCACAAACCCAATAGATCTCTTAAATGATGCATGCACTGCTGGCACATAATGGACATAAGGGAAGGGTCATGAGGAGAAATTTCAGTGAAAAATGACTGCCGATAACTGATGCATGCACTGCTGACACATAATGGACATAAGGGAAGGATCACGAGGAGAAATTTCAGTGAAAAATGACTGCCTGAACTATACAATGGTTTATGATGCTGGATCATAAGCGCCAAAGGAGGCTCCTGTTTTTGCCTCTCCAGCCACGGCCACAGGAGTTTCCACCAGAACATCAACTAAATATGCAGCCACACATTAAATATTTTTTTAAAAAGTTATTCCTAATGGCCACAGGCTAGTCTTCACCTGATCTTTGCCATGATCCCCGACTACAACAAAGAGCGTCCTGTGCCGTTCAGCCACTCCATTCTCAATCAAAACTCGAATGCGATTATCCACCTTCTTGCGCTGCATGTTCAGCTAGAAACCCTGTAGAGATTTCAGAGATGACAACAATAATAGTATTTTTGTTGTAAAGATCACAGTAGCAGTTGGTTTTCAGTCTTTTTATTCTTAGTCCCGATACATCACTCATCCCTAAGTATCTGATTTGAAGTACAAAACAGAAAAATGCCATTTCAGCATGATCTTTACAGACTCCAAAATCTGATTCGTTTAAGAGCCCTACCTGCTGGTGAACCTTCCCATAAAGAAACATTGTGAATTGTAAGCAATGCCATGCAGTCATGCTATGACAATACTTGGTAAAGGCGGATTGGGCAAAGACAAACATACGTTCTCCCACAATACCTTACCGCATTTTAAGAAGCTAGTCACATAAATAACTCTTAACCTTATCTTGGAATTTTTCAGAATCATTAAATTGATTCTACCATATTAAAACTTACTATCATTCACACAATAAATAGTAAGTGTAACTGCAATATAATTATTAGCACCATAACAGCAAAAGTTTGTATGTATGTCTTAAAAAAAAATTTTTGTATTAAAAATCCTTGGTATCCAACAACCAGAAGTCAAATACTTTTTTCTTTCTGGGTTTGGCCAAACTTACTTCAGTTGCCAAGAAAAGGGTTAGCAAAAGAAGTTCACATGACATTCTAGATACTGTGGTGAAGAGACAGCAGCCAGGAACATTGCCTGCAAAAAATATCAGTAGTGACTTCTGTTGAATGTGACTGTTTTACAATATGACCCCAAGTTAACTCAGAAAGTTTTACAGGGATTATTTCCCAACAAATTCTCAGTATTATAACCCAAGCAGAAACAATCAAGAATCAGTTACTTTCCTCAAGAGGATAAAATGGAAGAGGGAAAAACATGTACAGCACTCTGAACCCCTTGAAGCAAAAGTGCAATAAAAATTGGGTGGACTGATAGTCAGACAGAAACCTCTGGTCCAAGTGTCAGATCTAACATTTTATTCCCCAGCCTGTGAAATACTACACACCATCATTATAATAGCAACAAAAGAGCTTGTAAACTGATTAACAGTGTCTATGTACCTTCTAAGGTCACATCTTCCTAACGGTGCAAGCCTAAACACATTGAGGTCACTTCCTAGTAAATGTGCTTTGGGCTGCAGCCTCCATATAGCACAAACATGAAAAGAAATCCTGAGAGGTTTCACTTTTTATCTCCAAATCACATTTATTAATTTTATTTCCCATATTCTAAGGTGCTACATCTTTAAGAATGGAGAAATAGGCCAGAATTACTACAAGAACATGACAGCCAGGGTGGTTCAACAGTTAGAGTGCCTAACTAAATTGTGGTAGACACCCAAGTTCTAATCCCCACTTGGCACGAAGCTCACAGCAGTCATTTTCTCTGTTATCTCACAACGTTGTTATAAAGCTAACACTGTATGCCTGAAAGATGGGATAAAAGTGTAAAAGACAAGCTCTACTGCTCTCAGCTTCACGTCTGTGCTACTAAGTTTTGCACATTTTACTCAGAAATAAATCCACTCTTTTAACTATCGTTATAGCCAAACGCACATGATTGCAGCATCCATGCGGTGATAGTGAATGAACTAGTATGCTTATGTGAAAATGAACTCTACCTTGATTTTTTTTTTTACAGCGTGCAGGTTTCACCGGGAATCCAGAAATGTTGTAATAAGTAGCCAAAAAATGAGGGGCACGGGGGAGAAGAGAGACTCATCCCGCCTTACTTGAAATGCGTGCAAGCACTAGAGGAGACGCTGGGCAGGTTTCCGGTGGGAGAGATGGGGGGGGGGGACCATTAAGAGAATGAGGCCAGTAGAAAAAGGCCTTCAACGTGGGTCATCCTTGAGGCTGAAAAGCTATGACTCTCTCTTCACAATTAGTCCCACGGAACAGAGTGGCAAACCTCCCAGTACACGTGCCTCGGATCCAACAACGTAACTCGGGAATCCAACAGTACTCCACGCCCCCATCTCGACTCCCACCCGTAGTTATTTTCTTACCTTTTCCTCTTTCTTCCTTTTAAATCCAGGGGGCAAGAGAAGGCAGCTACAGCCCTGAATTTTGAAGACCAGCTTCCCACGTGCAAAACCACGTGGGCTGCGCGACAGCAAGGAAGGACCCAGGAACAACCTTCACAAAGCGCCGGAGAGAAACCAGCCGATATAGCTGAAGCCAGCGCAGGAATCTCCTCCCGGGTCTGGGCAAAAGCATCAGACACCCTCACAGGGGCCTTTTTGGTATGCGCCCCGCCTTTCAGAGGATCTCAGGCAGGAAGAGGAGGAGCCGATGGAGCCGCTGCCCCCCCCATGGGAAAAAATTGTCTATCTGGATGATTAGTCCGCCCTGCGCGGGGAGCGTTATACAGGGCCCTTCATTTGCACAGAAGTAGATTCACTTGCGTTCGGGTGGACTTTCTGGGCACCGTACTAAGGATTGCAGGCCGATCGTAAGCACTTTTTGCCCCCCGAATTTTAACTCGGTCTTACAGTACAATAATGTGCATCACTAGGGGGAAGCAAAAGTCCAGCGGCACTCACAGGCTAACATAATTTATTCCTCCTGAGCTGTCGTAAGTCAGAGCTCACTTTACCAAATGCAGAGAATTGAACATCCACAGGAGATATAGTCAAACGTTAAAAGCAACAGAAAAAGGGAAGTGGGTATTTGTGTATAAATCTTAATTCAAAGGTACACTGTAGGTATGAAATAAAGTGAAAACTGGGATAAATTGTTACTCTTCATCAGTGGCTATCATAGCTGCTGAGAAGTCCCACTTAACTTCCGGACAAACACGCAAGTGTTTTGTTTTTTAATACCACCGTATTCCTCACCCTAAAAAGAGTTTCTGAATCTTTCAAGAGTCAAGGCTCCCTTCCTCAGACATGAGTAGAAATTGAGATCCAAGTCCTTTTATCCTAGTCAGAAGGTCGGAGGGGCTTTAGATGCTTGTAAAGGATGCAAAGGTACAAACGCATATTCTGATCAGCTTGATTAGAGCATAAAGCTTCTATACTGAAGTTCTTGTGGATCTTGAAGGTGCCACTGGACTCAAATTCCACTGTTCCACTGAAGACCAACATGGCTACCCTCGGAAACAAAGATTAAGATACATCGCAGCATGATGAGAAAATTTCTTCCTAGAGCAGGGGTCCCCAACGTTGTTCTCATGAGTGCCATGACACCCACCAAGTGTTTTTAGGAAAAGGCAGGGCCAGGTAGGGCTTTTGTCCAGCAAGACTTCTGATGGACTATTGGAGATTTGATTGGCTGTGCATATTTTTTTAAGATGTTGCTTTGGCAGCAGTTGCCACCACAACACAAGAACCTGCACTGTTACAGAAGCTAAGCAGTGGCAATCATTTTGTGGCTGGCTAGGTGTCCCGCAGCAGCCATTATTGTTGCATCCACCATGCCGTCTCAGAATTCCAAATGTGATCTTAGACTCAAAAAGGTTGGGGACCCGAGTCCTAGAGCCTGGCCCCAGTGGGGTTTTGTGCTTAAGGCTGCTACAGTGAATAAGATGTCTTTGAACTATTTCTCTTTATCAATTACATTGAGCCTAAATGGGGGACAGTGCACAAATGAAGCAGTGCTGAAATGTCCCTATGGTAGAGAGAATGGTAGCACACTGCCAAAGAAGAACCCTGTTGGATCAGACTGAAGGTCCATGTAGTCCAGCACCGTTTTCAAAAGTAGTCACCATATCTGTCTAGAGCAGGTGTCAAACTCATTTGTTATGAGGGCTGGATCTGACATAAATCAGACCTTATTGGGCTTGGGCCATGTGTGTCACAAAATGTAGTGCCAGGTAGCAGAGATATAAACTTTATAAAGGACACAAACACAAAGTTTTTTTTTTAAACTTAAAATAAAAACATGCTTAAACATTAGCTCTGTAAACTGCAAACCTAATTTTGATTTCCTGAAATTCACCACAGAAATCTCATGCTCAAAAGTTCTGTGTCTAGGACCCAGGTTAAGAGAGTCTGGCGAAGCAAGCTATGATGCAGCAGCAGAACTGGAAGCAGGAGATGGCCAGTTCCACTGCAGGCCTGATGGAAGCCGTCTGGGGGGGCTGATGCAGCCCCCGGGGCCGCATGTTTGACACCCCAGGTCTACAGAATACTTAAAGTATTCAAACAAGGCATGGATATGAATAAAGCTACCTTATACCAAAGGAAAACACTGGTCTCTCTAACCCAGTGTTGTCAGCTCTGACTGGGAACAGTTCTCCAGGTGGAGAGAAGTCCAGCCTCAAGGAGGGCCAGGGCTTTTTCAACCCTGGCCCCTACCGGATAGAATGAGCTCCCATTAGAAATCAGGGCCCTGGCAATTCTGTAGAGCCTGCAAGACAGAGCTCTTCCACCTGGCCTTTAATTGAGGCAGCCTGCACCCAACTTCTGACTGGCCTCCCCTCCAGTGACCTCAGATCCGAATGGCCACCTGGGAACCAACTGCTTCTTGCTGAGAGCTGTTGAGGCACCAATCTTCTTATATTGATTGCTGCTTTGGATAGATTTAAGATATTTTAACTGTTAATTTGTTATACTGTGAATTTTATGATGGAACTCGCCCTGAGCTAGCTTGTGGGACGGGCGGGAATCAAATCGAATGAAATAAATACTTGAAAGCCAGCCTTTGTAAATTCCCTGATTTTAATCTGATGCCAACAAATTATTATGCTAGGACAATAATGGACAGACCCATGAATCCCCCTACATGGTATACATAGTATATAACATAGATTACTATGCTGAGAAAGTGAATTTGGTGTTAAATTGTTAAAATGTGAATCCAGTAAGTTTTCAGCGCTCGGCTCTATAAAGTATTCATAAGGCAATGTATCTGAGCTAAACATCTCAGCTTTGTAATTTAAGAAAGGCTTGCTCTTCCACTTAAACCAGTACCTCTGCTTCCATTAATGAAACTTCAATGCCTTCTGGCATGGGAAAAGAATGCAAGGACTCTGAATTACATTTGGAAAAAAATATTTTTTCTATGACGAGTTTAAGGATAAATCTTTCAAAATGTTTTCAACACAGAAATTATTTAGAAAATCTACAGTTTTGGCAAAAAATATCCTAACAAAATAGTATAAATTATCTTTAACACATTGTTATTGGAATGGTTTGTAAAAACACTGGGGATTAGGCCAATAGATAAAACAGAGAGTTTGTTATAGGGATGGACACTCACCTGCAGCTCTCTTGAAAGCTGTATTTGTTCATTACTGGAATCACTGGACTTGGCTGTCATTTGAAAACTTGAATTTAATTTTTTTTTGTTTTGGTTTAAAGGACTATATATTTAAAAAATAAAAACCCTCCTTCACATTTAGTCTTGAGGGTAAATGCTGCTGGGGGGGAAATTACCCTTTGCCACTCTTGTTTAAGGCAGCATCATTCCTTCTGCCTTTCATGGGAATATTTAGCTGCTGAGAAAGTCAGTAGCTGTGTCTTGAGTATTTAAGAAGCTGCCTTCACTAGTAAGATTATGAACTAAGAATTTCACCTGCTACTGTTCCTTTGACAGCATTCCCAAAGGATCAAATAGAATACTGTTTTTCCAAATGGCAACCCAGATACCTAAGGCTGAACAATGATCTCTATGCATCATCAGCAGTTCCATTAGCATTCAGAGGGGTACAAAAGGAGAAACACCCCAGACCCCAGGTACTTAAAAAAAACAATATTTCTACCATATAGGTACTTGTTAGATTACTTAGTAGCAGGGCTTTTTTGTAGAAAAAGCACAGCAGAAACTCATTAGCATATTAGGACACACCCCATGCATTTCCTTGGCTTGCCCGGGCAACCCACAGCTGTGGGGAGCCTGGCCAAGCCGGCTCTTGGAGGAGAGGCAATTTAAACTGCCTCCCTGATCCTTCCAGGGCCCCCCTTGGCCTGCCCGCCTCGGGAGTCGCCGGGGTGTGTGTGTCGCTCTCCAGGCCTTCCCTCTGTAGCCACGCACGCTGAGGTTTTGGCTGTGGGCATGGCCAACTCTGAAGCCAGCCGGAACTCCATTCATGTGCATTGCACATTCCTGCCCAAAAACAGACACATTATAGTCCTTGCAACATCCTTGTAAGGTAGGCTACTACCCTTTCCCCTAATAGGACAGCCGCGGAATAAAACAATATATATGCTCTTCTTTGTGATGACAAGCTTCAAAACTGTTAAAACAGCCACCGTGCTTTGCTGCCATTACATTTGCAAATGACCACTGTAATCTAGTATGATTTCAGAATTACCAGTGATATGCATAGGTGGATCAGTCAGATAAAAATAACTCTCCTGCCTGAAAATGTATTGAAATTGGTATTAACATCAAACATTCACAAGTTCATCTTCACTGAATTAAATAGATAGGGAACTGAGGTCAAGAAATTTATTTTATCTGAGAACAGAGCCAATTTGAGAGTTTATAGCTTTAGGTACATTCTTGAGATCCCTAAACCTGTAATATCTGCCTGGTAATATCAATTTTATTCAAAATCAGGCATTTAAAAAGGGATGCCTATACTATCTTCTTCATGCTAAGCTGCATGACCTCTCATGTCTATGCTCCATACAGAGTACTGCAGGATCACAGAGTTTATCACAGTTTATTTATGTGTTAATTCCCTGAAATGAGAATAAGGAATCCACATCTACTTGTCTCGAGTGTTCAGAGTGTGAAACCATCTTTAAAACCAGCTCTAAGGATGGAGTCCTCCTAATCCTTCTCTTGAAGTCAAACATGCGAACTTCAGTATCTACACCACACATCTGTGGTCATTACTTTTTGCCAGATGTTCTACAGTAATACATCTATCAGTTGAAGGTCATTTTATAATAGTACCAGATACCAAGCCAGTGTGCTATTATGGCCAAAGAATCATATTAGGATTTGGGAGACCCAGATTCAAATCACCACTCTGCCATGGAAGCTTGTTGGGTCACCATGGACTAGTCACACAATCTTAGCCTCACCTACATCACAGGGTTGAGGATAAAATGCAGAGTATGATGCAAGCTGTTACGGGCCCCCATTGGGCAGAACGGCGGGGCATAAATGAAGTAAATAAATACTATTCATGAAAATCAT